AACAGGCCAAAGATTGCAAATCACCATGTATCTGCGCACACGCAATCGCAGCGACAACAGCTTGCACCCACAGATACAGTGCGGCCGCCGCCGGGGACATCCAGAATTTGAAAATCGCAATTTTTCCTCAGTTTTTGCACATTGACCCTCATTTTCGGCGACAGTTTCAGGCGGCGGAAAAAAATCGCAATTTTACCGCAGTTTTTGCGCATCGAACCTCATTTCGTGCGAAAGGGTTGCGTTTCGCAACCCCATCTTGGGCTGCCCCGCCGCCTAAGATAGATTTAATAGAACTTGAGATGTAGGAGTTTTGTAGGAGGTTTAAGTCTGAGATTTACTCCTGCGAATTAACGCCTGAGTAAATAGGAGGTTTTAGTCTGAGATTTACTCAGGCGAATTAACTCCTGAATAAATATAGTCTGAGATTTACTCAGGCGAATTAACTCCTGAGTAAATAGAAGGTTTTAGTCTGAGATTTACTCAGGCGAAGTAACTCCTGAGTATTTACTTCTGAGTATGAACTCCTGATATAGATGTAGATGATGTAGATGATGTAGATAATGTAGATGATGTAGGTGATGTAGATGGTGTGGGTAATGTAGATGATGTAGATGATGTAGGAGATGAGATATTGTGTAGGAGATGTTTATGTAGGAGATATTTGGTAGTTGTTCTTTGGGAAAAACCCTTCGCAGGAGCTTTCGGGAAAATCATTATATAAAACCTCTTGTAACAATCTGTGCAAAATGAAAGAATACCATGATGAATCAACTTGTATTACTATCCCTCAGCTTCATCAGGGGTTGGTAATTCATGGTAAATGTCCTAATTGAACATCACCCAAATATAGGGGAGATCATCTCCAACAAATACTTGAAAGTGGTGTGAAACAAATCCCCAAAATGAGACAGTCGAGACATTTGGTGGTTTCCTGAAATAGGGGTGCCCCCAAATCATCCATTATAAATGAGATTTTCCACTATAAACCATCCATTTGGGGGTACCCCAATTTATGGAAACCACCATTTACCAAACCCTGTTTATCACGATCATTTCTCCGAAAAAATAAAGGCTCCTGGACAACCTGCTGGAGCTGGCCAATCTCGTTGCGGATGGCCATCCTGAGGAAAAACTCACAACGACGTCACGACGTCACATTGCTATCTGATTACCCTCCGGCGTCATCAAACATGGCAATGGAAAATGGACCATTTATCAGTGATGTTCCTATCAAAAATTCCATTCATAGGGGATTTTCCATTGCCATGTTTGATTACCCGAGGGTAAATGGGATTATGATGCTCTACTATGCATTACTAATCATTGCTATGCTTTGCTCGGGATTCTATGGGACTCTTGATTGAACTATAAATCAAATCTCTTCTCATGACAAAACATGACAAAATGATAAGTGGGACAGTCAGACAACCGCCGATTCTGGAGAAATTCTTGGAAGCCACAGCCCACGGGCCGCCCACGGATGCCCCACCACTGCCAGGGGTCTGCGCGTCCATTTCCACGGAGATCACTTCCTGAAATGTCGCCTTTGCACGGTCCATTTCCAATCTCCTTGGACGATGAAACACGGAGCGAACGGCCGTGGCAGTGATGTTGAATTGCCTTGTAGATGGGTCCACATTCAAAAGAACTCTTGGGGAGCGCCTAAAATGTCCCAAAATCAATCTTGTCAAAATGTCACAAAGTTTTTCAAACATCATCACGCGTGGCCTTTTCATGTTGTTCCGGATACCTGGGACCAAGTGTGTCGGTGATCTGATGGTTATTCCCATGCCACCATCCCCAGTTCCAAACATCGGGCCGAGTTGCAAGTCGTGTTCGGCCCTTCGATGCTCCAGTGCTTGCTGCTGTGAGCGCTGGATCTGCTGTAGCAGTGTTTGGACCTTGTCCCGCCTCGGAATACCCAAGCAGCGTTTGTGGCTTTGTCCACAGAGGCTGCAGCCCAGCTGGTGGCAATTCTTAATGAGAATATGATAATGAACGTGAACGAACAATGAGATCTTACTGGAGCACCAGTCACCAGTATACTCCGTGATTCTTACACCTATGTACGACTGTCAAAGGTCGACTCCCAGCCAATCCACATCTGCCAAAACCTGCCACGGCCATCTGTCAAGCAGCAAAGCTGCCACTTTACTCAGTTCCAAAGCAGCTTCCGCTTCGCACTGCCGCGCTTCGTCACTGCTGCGCTCGCTGTCCTCCTTTTCACGACGCTGGGAGAGATCCGGGAGAACGTGGATCCCCAAAACGCGTGGCACCGATGAGAGCTCTGAACTTTGAACATGTCTTTGGGATCAACACAGAACTTGATATTCCACCTCAGGTTTGCATGGATTTCCTTTCAACATATTTGAACATATTCCTTTCCTTGTCAAGTTGATATGTCTGAATATTTATTGAGTTTTTCCTCAGTGAAACAACCAACTCCGCAAGCACCGTGCACCTGAACTTGTCGCATGGTTGCTCGTAACTCTTCCATTTGAGAGCTGAGCCTTGATCCAATGATCCCAACCAACGCCATGACTGTCCAGGAAACGATGGTGTGCTGTTGGTCCAAGCCCCAAACTGGCTACCCCAATATAATCAGTCACGTTACATATATATATATATACATCATATTTATATATACACACTATTGATGCATCTCTATAGTATATATACATATATGATATACAGGTATGTATTTCATCGGGAACACTATATTTGACAGGGATCCAAGGGGTGTAAATGGGGTAAAGAAAGAAATGGTCACCATTTTTTCCTGTCTTGTGGCTATCATTTGTCTATGTTTACCTATACATAGTATGGAGCAACCCTGTTTTTCTGTACCATACTTGGGGTTAACATAATATAGCTATATATACTCATAATTGTAGTGTATGATCATATTTTAGATCTATTAAACTCTGTATATGATATGTATATGTTCACCATGGGACTCCATGAATTTTGATGCCAAGAATCAGCTGTTTCTGATCCAGCAGCACCTTGCGATCTGCATCGGTGGACAGGGAGTGGTCCATGTCACCTGAAAAAAATGCTGCGAAGCCAGCTACGCCCAAGTTTGAAGGACCCTGCTAGTGTATGCTAGTGCATATTTCATGGATTTTTTTAAACATCTAAGGAAATCTAAGATATGTAAGGCAAATGTATCATTGTATCCTCATCATGTTTGAGTGATACCATGTCATACTAGTATGGATGAGGCTCAAATGTTGGTTGATCCAAGGCAAATTCGTTGTTTGTTGGTCAAGTCCCATATCAATCTCTATGAAAAACATTGCCCCACCTTCTTGGAAGACTGCAAGCGCTAAGTTTCATATCTTTCATCAACACCTGAAACCTCATAGATTCAAAATCCACCATAATCCACCCAAGGGGATTCGTGTCACTGCCCTAAGCTATTGCACCTGGCCAAGTTTAAATCAAGTCGCCCACGAGCATTGCTACGCCATGTTCCAAGCGCTGCCTGTGGGCAGAATTGCAACAAAACAGGCGGGTACGGTTTCAAATCACTCCTGCGCAAATAACAACTTCTCAATCACTATATACTATACATTTGAATCCAATGCTGAATATCCAATTGGATCCACTTAGAGTACAATAACTATCACTGAAGCGTACACATGTGGTAAACAAGTTCTGGGTTTACCACATTGGAGTTCCAACCTCTCGGAAGATTCCACCATGAGGAGGTCGCGCTTTTTCGCAGCGGCCCAGAGGTTTAATCAGTTGGTGTATGGGTAAATGAAGGCAGGTAGAGACAGAAGGTAAGAAATGGTAAGAATATGTGAATCCAAATTGGGAAATGATGGTCATTCTTGGATTTGTTTTGCAACCCAGATAGACTAAGGCCAACCACCCTACGTCCCAACGGATTGTCAATTCTGTCACCTTGTCAAAGAAGTTAGTGAATTAGATCAACTAGGCGCGACCAAAGCTGTGACTTGGATTTCCAGTTGCCCAAACAATGCAATAAGCATAAGGATGGGAATTCATGGAAATGCCTTCGTGATGACTATGAAAGTGTGAGATTGGATCCTCCCAATGAGCCCAAGTTGTTTTCGCAGCTGAAGTCTTGAGCCGAAACATCACATGGATTACAACACAACAACAGGATGTCATCATGATTCCTCATGGTAGGTTTGTCCGAAAAAAACTCATCGGTTAATCATCACGCCCATTCAAACATATTATCTAGCATTGCCATGTCAGATCATATTGGGGTATATAGCCTGCTTTTAAGGACAATCTGGAGGTTTCCTAGAATACGGGTACCCCACATCATCCAAGTCATTAGACCATATCTATCCATATTTATAAATAGAAACCCATGGTTTTGGATGTCGCATTTTAAGACACCTCCATTCGTTTTTCCCGATCGTCCGCCCCTGAGACGCTGGCGTTAACAGGGCAAGGCCACTCAGGGCACCCATCAACCACAGCCCCGAGGTGGACCTGGCTGTCAAAAGTTGTCATATACACACACGTATACGTCTGCGTATATGTATATATAATATACATATACATGTTTTATATGAATACAAATAACACATTCATAATATACATATACGTATGTATATAAACACATACACATACACATACACATATATGTACATACGCATACACATATACATACACCTATACATATACATATGTACATATACATACATATACACATAATACATATCTATGACATATGTATGTTATGTGTACATAGATACACATGGGTTTGTCTTTTTTTGAGGTGACCAAACTGGGAAGTAGTAGGGGGGGTATGATTCGGGGGTATGATTCGGGGTATGATTCGGGGGTATGATTCGGGGGTATGATTCGCGGTATATATCGAGGTATGATTTGCACATAGTAGTAGTAGTAGTAGTAGTAGTAGTAGTAGAAGTAGTAGAAGTAGTAGTAGTAGCAGAAATAGCTATAGTAGTAATAATCATATAGTAGTAGTCGTGGTAGTAGTCGTAGTAGTCGTAGTAGTCGTAGTAGTCGTTGTCGTCGTCGTAGTAGTAATAGTCCACGTCGTAGAAGCAGTCGTCGTCGTCGTCGTATAATAGTATGGTAATAGTAGTCGTAATCGTAAGAGACACAATAATGATCGTTTTAGCACTAGGAATAGGAGGAGTAGTAGTAGCAGTAGTAGGAGGAGTAGAAGTAGTAGTACTAAAAGTAAAAGTAATAGTAATGTGGCAATAGTAGTAATCATCGTAGTAGTAGTCGTAGTAGTAGTAGTAGTAGTAGGAGTAGCAGTAGCAGTAGTAGCACTAGTAGTAGTAGTAGTAGTACTAGTAGTACTAGTAGTACTAGTAGTACTAGTAGTACTAGTAGTACTAGTAGTACTAGTAGTACTAGTAGTACTAGTACAGTAGTAGTAGTAGTAGTAGTTGTAGTAGTAGTAGTAATAGTAGATAATAGTAGTAATAGTAGTAATAGTAGTAGTAGTAGTAGTAGGAGGTGGTAGTATCAGGAGCATTGAGATCAGGAGCAGCAGATAGACAGCCGGCACGCGCGGCATACAGAAGCTTGATTCGGGTATGATTCGGGTATGATTCGGGGTATGATTCGCGAGGGGCGATTTGAAGACAGAAAAGACAATAGAGAAGCAAGTGCGGTATAGGAAGTGCAGCAGCAGCAGCAACAGTAGGAACAGCAGAACAGGAGGAACAGGAGGAACAGGAGGAACAGGAGGAACAGCAGGAGCAGCAGGAGCAGTAGGAACAGCAGGAGCAGCAGGAGCAGCAGGAGCAGCAGGAGCAGCAGGAGCAGCAGGAACAGCAGGAGCAGCAGGAGCAGCAGAAACAGCAGGAACAGCAGGAGCAGCAGAAGCAGCAGGGAGCAGCAGGAGCAGCAGGAGCAGCAGGAGCAGCAGGAACAGCAGCAGCAGCAGGAGCAGCCTCAGCAGAGCAGCAGGAGCAGCAG